TGTGTGTGTGTGTGTGTGTGTGTGTGTGTGTGTGTGTGTGTGTGTGTGTGTGTGTGTGTGTGTGTGTGCGTGTGTGTGTGCAGGTGTAACCTACAAGAGTGTTGTCTAATGTTCTGGGTTTGGTGATATTATCAGTTTCTCACCTCAGATCTAACAGCTGCGAGCAGGTGTGTCTCTCCAGTTACTGCAGCTACTCTCTGCTGCTGTCCGAAATACTCTGTCCCGTTCTCTGTCCTGTCCTCTGCTTTGTCCTTTCTCTGTAAATGCAGATGGTGCTTTACATGTGCAAAGCTCACACAGTCCTCCTGTCTCTTTCTCTCTGTCCCTGTGTCTGTGTGTGCATGTGTTTGGGTTTTGTGCAGGCATTTGGGTGGGGGCAAGGGGGTTCCATTGTTAGTATAAGGTCACAACAATGAGACATGTGAGTCCCCCACAATGCAATGCTCCTGCCAAAGCCAAATGGCATGCCCCCATTTAGCACACACATACACAAGCCACACAAACACATACACTAACGCACAGAACGATCAGTAATCATAAAAGTCACTCTAACTGAAGCTGACATGACTGAGCCATCCAGGGGTCTCTTTTACCTTCCTATCATCTATTTGTGGACAGGTAAGAAGTTTAAATATATTTTGAAATATATCTTTTGAATCAATATGAAAGAATAATTAGTCTTAAATGATCACATGAATCATAAATGTCCACAACACTGACTTTAAAGAAGGATTTCTAGGAGTTTGGTTTTAAGAGCTCTCCTCTGTAACTGTTGCAAGTCAATAAAAGTTAGTTTAATTATTCACACAGAAAATAGCAGGTAGGAATTAATTAATATTAGCTCCTGGAGTTACTACATCAAATTCAGAAATACATGTAGTACATATAAACATATCACCACTTTGATTATAAAACATATATGTGTGATAAGAGCTCAGCAACGAGAATAATTCATCACTGCAAAGATTCGCACACATCCCTCGCACACAACTTACCTCTGTTTTTGATTTTTTTATTTGATCTTCTGTGCTCCACCTGAATCAGGAGGGGTAGAGGGTGATGTGCTGGCTTCACTGGCACCTCCAGTTCACCTGTCAGGGGAGAGGCTTGGTTGGACCCTGCTGGTGTGCATTGTGAATGACTTTAGGAGAGGCCACTTGGAGGTCAGCTGGAGCTCAGCGTCAGAGGGTCACATGCCCACCACGCCATACAGCATCGCGTTAACCAGGAAGCACCATGTCCCCAATGTGGTGGCTGTTATCACTGTGACAACCAGAGACTGGCCATCATACAGTTGCTCAGTAAGTCGCAAGAGACACTCAAAAAGCAAGAGGAGACGCCGCATCACCTCATCAGGTAAAGATGAGTTCATGTGACCATATCTGTAAATTTGGAGCTGGAATTTCACATTTTATCTTTTCAGATCATCAAGACAAACTGTGCTATGAAGAAGAAAAAATTAAAGGTAAAACTTTGTTGTTGCTCAAAAATGAAAGAAAAAAAAAAAAACGCAATAAATTGACACACGAGGATATCTTATATTGGTCTGCATGGTTTGCTCTCAGGCATTGATGTGTGGACAAACACAGTGATTATCCTGGTTATGAGGCTGCTTCTCATGAAGATCCTCACCTTTGACACTCTGATGACCATTTATGTTGTTATTAAGTGGTAAGTACCATCATGCAGTACACAGATGTACCTTTGCATGCAGGCATGTCATTGATTATTATAAGTCTGTAAATCTTCTTGTATTTCTATGAGTGTAATTCATTTGATTTTATTTAATTATGTAAGTCTGAACGGAGTATTTGACTTTTCAGATCGATGGAAATGGGTTTCTCATGCAACATATGACCTTGACAAGGAAACTAACCTAGAGAGGATAACTGTTTCTGGTCTGAAGTCTTCATAGAGGAGTTTTCTTCACTAGAAGATAATGAGTATGTTCCCACTCATGTGGTTTATTTTAAGGACATGGTTTGACGGATTAAACGGGAAATGATCCATTGCCAGGATGACAGGAGTATGCTGTAACGCTTAAAGACGCGCCTTTTTCAGCCTTTTCACAGAGACATCCAGGTGTCGCTGCCTTTGGCAGTTGAAAACAGATCGTGTTTGTGAGGCCAAACCTGTTATCTGATCAAAAGCTAACCACAGACAGATGGCTTAATGCTTCTGTTAAATGTGTGTATGGGCTTCTGTGGGAAGGTGTGTGTACAGTCTCGCTCTTATTTAACTCTAAACTCCTGTGGGTGAATTTCAGCTCAAAGTTTGTTCATTTTTTTGTTTGTTTGTTTACTCATTAATACTGTTTTACTTTATTAGTATGTTCATTTTTCTTTTTATATTCCTGTGAATGTAAAATTAATAGACAGTAAAATCGAACTGTGTTGACTTTCATGTTTGTTCGCTTTGTTAAATAAAACACTCACACAGTTTATTTCCTTTTTTTTTTCCTTTTTTTGAGAGCCTTGAGTAACACACTGACATATCAACAGATCACCACTAGGTGGCAGTACAATCACATCTGACATTTTTTAAATTATTATTTAACAGCAAGAATATGGAGCTTAACTTCCTCTACGGGGCACTACGTTCATAAATAAGTTAAGTATTTCAACATTGATCAGTCACTCTTCACTCACACATGTTGTAAGAGACCACAATGCCAAAAAAAACCCCAAAAAACTGAGATGAACCAATATCGTCAAACAAACTTGGCGTAATTACAAAGAATGTTACATGTTCAAAAGGCTCACAGGCTTTTTTTAAAGGTAGAAACCTCTACCAGGTATCAAATTCTTAAAACACAACGCTGATGCAGAAAACACAGCCTAGCGTGATAAGGTTTCTTCAGTAATTTGCACTGTTTTCTCTCCAGTATTTTACATGTATCCCAACAAGGAGCAGCTTGTCAGTTCCAACAAAACCAATCTACAGTAGTAAGTTTAAAAACTAGGGAGAAAAAGACTCCGAGAGGGTGGAGGGTGCTGGTTTGGTGTTGAGTTTTGATTTTCGCTGCACAAGAAACAAAAAAAAGGAAAAAAAATATCTGTCTTTGGCTCAAATTATACGAATAATAAAAAAAAGTAGACTGAGTAAAAAACACGAGCCTGTAAAGTCACAGCGTCTTGGCAAAAAGGCGGGACTTCTTCTAACGCGAATCAGCTGAAATGAAAACACTTTGACACATTAAAAGAAAAACACTGAAGCACCCACAAACACACAGACTCACACAAGCAGTCAAAGTCAGGCATGAGAAAAACAAAGTAGTACTGATGGCATTTGCTGTGACGAGTTTCAAAATACATTCAACAGAACAGCTCACATTACTTAAAATAAAATGCTGAAGCAAATCAGCTAGTACTTGTTGCACTTAAAAATAAATGACATCTCCTATTGTTCTACTTACTTTTACTGTGAAAGGATCCAAAACCAAATCACAGAGCTCCAAAGTTTGAGCTGGTTTTAATGGAGGACATGAAGTGAAAGAAAACAAAAAAAAACACTGATGTGGATTTGTGGAAAAAATTAAAATAAAGTGCATTTGTTAAAACAAACCTCATCATCTGAGGTATTCAAAAAAATCACATCAAATGGCACAAAAACAAACTTGACTCCATTACACTGTGCACTGAAGACAAAATGAACTATTTACAGTCAATTTAAACACACAGAGACATTTGTGTCATTGTCAGGTGCGTTCTATCCAAAGCTGAAGACAGATTGTAGAAGCCGTCGTGCCGTCTTGTTTATTTTATTTTGCATTTTTTACCTCCAGAGAGCTGATTCTCTTATAGTTAGTGACACCAGCATGTCCTGCGTCCACTGGGAGGTCTTTCACCTTTAAAAAAACATTAAAGTCCTAATAACTGTTCAGGCTGCTGGTTCCTCACTGCAAGAAACAGGTGCCAGTGTTAAGTATCAGTGCTCAGCAAAAAACTTCCAAACCATTTATTTGTAGTGCACACACATACCCAGACCTACACACATGCAGGCACACACAAAGACTCCCGCTATTACATCAACACAGTGCTCAGAAAACATGGCAGGAGCAGGGCAAGCCGTTTGAAATTTTGAGAATCAAAGTGTAAAGAGGAGGTGGCAAAACTGCGGGGGTAGATCCTCCAGCTGTCCCGGTGTGGATGGAGACTCTCCATATCCTTCTGCGCACTGTATGCTGCCACTGTGAAGTTAGCATCCCCGGTGGTCAGGAGGTCAAACACACAGGAGTGGAAGTAAATGTCCTCTACCTCCAGTTGCTCCCTGCACCGCTCCCTCGCCCCCTCCACACCAAAGACCTGCGTGGAGCCGTAGGCGGATGTTTGTGTCTGTGAGGAGTAGCTTGGCCGACGTAGCTGCTGAAGCTGCAGGCCAAGCGCAGGAGGGGAGACGGGCAGGGGAAGATGCCCCGCTTGGTCGATGCGCTCTGCGCTGGGGCAGCCGTTCAGGCAGAGCTGCAGGTCCTGGGTGGCATCGTAGGCCTGAGCCAGCTCCTCTGGGATCCGCACTGCCAGGGTCAAGTAGCGCCCCAGTTGGCGAACAATTACAGTCACGCCGATGTAGCCAGCGTGCAGCTCCACGTGGCGCCCTGGGCTGCGCTCGGAGATCCACAGAGCCCGGACCTTCCTGCTTGCTCCGTCTGCACCAGCAGAATTGTGCATGGGGTCGCCACTGCTCACGGTTCCATCATCAAAGGCAGCCGGAAGGTTGTCCGTGACGGCCTGGTAGACCCTCTGGTCCGTACAGCCCTCGTAGGGTTTGAAGATGATGGTGATCTATAAAGCAGCAGAGCATCAGGTAACTTAGAGGAACACTTCAAATGTGTTCAGTTTACAGTTATTGAGACATTTCATTCATTTCATTTTACATGATAGACACAATTGTAATCAAAAAGATGAATAGAGCAAGTAAATTCAAAGTAAATTAATCACCAACTAATTTAATAATTTCCTAATGAATTTCAGTGGCTTTTGGAGCCTGTCAATGAAATATCTTTAGCAAGCAGACTGCTAGTTGAACAAAACAGAAAATATGAATATAGCTGCACTTTGGTTGATCAGGAAGACAGAAAATCCTAATAATATAAATCATAAAAATAATAATAAGCAGCAGTTCCAACTATCTGGTTAGTTTAAACCTTTTAAACAAATGTACTCTGGTGTTTGATACATTTCCCTTTTTTGTGTTGTAACTGAACATCCTGGGGTTCCTAAAATTAAAGAGCCAATTTATTCAGTTTAGTTCATTTTATGCACTAAACTGTTAATAATTGAATCAAGAAAAAAACAATCTCATGACAAGCAGAAGAAATTTCCATCTGTCTGTTTTTCACAAATATCAACACTCACCCACTGCACAGGTCACCAACTCTCATCAGGCTACATTTGAGAAATGACTTAATGACTTTTTAACAAGTTGTAATTTGACACAGCTATGCAAACATGCTGACACATGCACGCACACGAACACACAGGCTGGCAGAAACACACACACACACACACACACACACACACAGGGATCCAGTGGTGAGTGGAAGCTGGAAGTGGTAGATGCAGGGTGTGGTGTGAGCATTACGGTTAGCACTAGCATCATAGTTCCGGTGAATGGCTGCTTTGTTCATATGACAGCCGTGAGGAATGAGACCTGGCAGGCCATTAAGCCTGGAGGGCCGTTAATGTGTGTGAAAGAGTGTGTATGTGTGCGTGTCTGTGTCCGTAATAATCGTGACTAATAACTTGCCCCACCTCTGACACAAGGTCAAACCTACAGCTCCAAAGTGTAGCAGCTGTACTATTTGCTTAATGCGTGTGTGTTTCTGCGAGTGTGTGCGTGACTAAGTGTATGCACGGGTGTGTATGTCCTTTAATAATTAAAGCTATCGACTGTGCTAGAAAGTGCAGATGATCGCGGGGAAACAACATTGCTTCTTTAACACCACAAAGATCACCTTGTGTGGCTCGTCATCCATTTAGTGGCGTGTGCCTGCGTGTGTACTTGTGAGTGAGCGTCTTCTGCACTGTGTCCTCTAAGACACACAGTGCCGTAAGCAGAGCGCAAGGAGTGCCACTCGTGAACTTATGAGACACACGCACAAGTGCTTGCAGACACACACATAAGTAAACAGTGGGTCCTTTCACACATCTCATTCCATGTTATTAAAGGTCAGGCTGTACGCAGCCATTAACCAAGTTAGGTTTCTAACACTGCTTCAGTCACAAGAGTTAAGAGTCACAAGATCGAGGCTGTTTGCCTTACACCTGTGAGTCTATGGGAGCGAGAAACACTCAGCATGAGAGTCAAGGAGAGCATGTTTTCCAGTTTGACTTTGATAAGATTTCTTATTCTGACGTGCATAAAAGTAGCTTGGACGTCATTATGGAAACCCAAACAAGAGATATATAACTAGACTGTTAACCCTGCTTGCACTTGTAAGAGTGTTTCAGCTTCAAAAATGGAAAAATAAGAGCCCAAAAGCCAGTTTCCGGTTCCTTACCTTATTGGTTGCTGTTGCACTGGAGCCAGGAACCACAGGAACATTAGTGACCTGCACTGAAAGGTAGTCGTTATCAATAAGAGGCCATGCTCCCTCCACTTTACAAGTCTGGAAGCTGTCCTTGAATGTCCTCAGGTGGGGGTCACCAAAGAGCCCACAAAACAGGTACCCAGCCCGAGAGTGGCCGTGGCTGTGGCTGTGAGTATGTGAGTGTGAGTGAGCGTGTGCATGGGATTGCGTGTGGGCGTGCTGAGTGCGGCTGTGATAGTTGCATGGCTCAAAGGGAATCTCGGGGTGTGTGGGAGAAGTGGGGCCATCTCTGGAGCAGTTTCTCTGGCTCATTAGGTCTGAGATGCCCAGAACAGCCGAGTGGAAGACCAGGTTTCCACGGCAGGCCTTTGCTGTCCTCTGAGTGCAGGCCGAGTACGCACGCAAAGCCTTGCAAAATTCAGTGTGAAAGCCATCCACCACAGGGTTCAGGTGGGAGGTCAGGGAGACAAAGTCGGTGGTGCACTTCTGGATACGACACTGAGGTGTGGCCACCTGGCACTGACCTGAAGAGGACACACAGATAGAGTCTGGAATATTAATATATAATACACACATGTCTGATAATTTAGGCGTGAACTAGACACAGTTATGTCTCAGTGGAAGTGAAAAGGTTGTGCAATCACACAAGACTACCAAGGTTACGTGTGAAGAAAGCTTGGATTTTACGCACGCAATGATATGAGTCTTTTTACAGTCTAATAAAAACCTAATAAAACTAGAAAAAGAACCAGCTGTTGATTGAAAGTCTGGATCAATCATCAGTGCCGCTCTGTGAGCATAATAAACCTGAAGTGTAATAAACCAAAGAGCAACTGGAGAGAGGGAAGACGAAGCATGTTTTACCACAAGCAGTGAGATAAAAGTGCCCATACAGCCAAGGAGCACACAGCATATAGAGCATTATAGACAAAGGGAACAGGGCAAAGCAGCTGTGCTGTGAATACAAACACAACACAGTGACTTTTTGAAGCTAATAATCTTCGTCAGCAAGGTGCTGAATAATTGTGTTAGTGATCCTGGGCGGCTTCTGCAGAGGAAAAACATAATCAAAAATGCACCTCGTGTAGCCATCAGAAACAGATTTCCCTGATGTTTTATCTTTTTCTGCGTTTCTAAATGTAACGAGGGTCAAAGTCGCCTTTTATATCATAGATCATCGGAGAGAGAGAGAAAGATAGAGCGAGAAAGAGATTAGAGACCAGACCTAATGCATTAGTCACAACGTGCTCCAATTAGATTAGGCCAGAGAGAGAGAGGCTCTGCAGTGTATGAGCAGCTACACACACACACACACACACACACA